AAAGTACACGTTTGTTTAGGATTTCTTTCTAGATGAGAAATAGAAAGTTTCCATATAAGAAAAGTTTCCATAAATAGAAAGTTCCACACATAAAACCGAAACCCTTGAAAAAACCCTAGTACTATAAATCGCGGATGCTAAAACCCTAAAACTTAACCGCGAAATCCTAATATCCTAATCTAGTATGATCCGATTGTTTGGTTGTTGCATACTAAATCAATCTTCTAGGGTTGATTTCATCCATATATATATAACATGATTGTTTAGAAAACACTTGCTGAAGACAAGCATGGCTCGGTCTTAAATACCGCATGACTTGGTCTAACCGATTACATGAGTTCTCATTTAACTCTATATATTATAGATATCAGAAATCAACTATTATGAATACACGGCACTCAATGCCTCTGGTGACAATTATTTAAAATAGGCTTTGGACACTGAGATTGTTCTAAAGGAAAAAGGGCTTGGTGAATCTATTATGGAAGGAAACAATGTCACCAGAAGAGAAAGATATAAGGCTATTACTGACATACGCCATCACCTCAATGAGAGTCTCAAAATCAGTACCTCACTATTAAGAATCATCTGGACCTCAGGACAGAGTTGAAAAAAAAAAAAAAAAATAAAAAAAAAAAATTCAATATAACCACCAAAGAACGGTGCTATTACCCAAAAGCCCGATTCGATCGGAAGAATCTCAGATTCCAGGAATTCAAATCCATGAATGAGTATAACTCAGCACTATTTAAAATAGTGTCAATACTGAGATTCCGTGGTGAGGAAGTTACTGAGAATGACTTGCTAGAGAAAGACTTGCTAGAGAAAGCATTCTCGACCTTTCACACAAACAATATATTGCCTCAGCAACAATATCGTGAAAAAGGTTTTTACCACATATGCAAGTCTAAACTCTTGTTTTTGGGGAGGACTCCTCTGTAGAGAGTGCTAAGGAGTGAGGCTTTGGAGAAACCTTGATGAGAACATTGATTCTGATATGATACTTGCTGAGCAAAACAATGAGTTACAAATAGTGAAATGAGACCTCCTGGTCCTACCCCATTATCAAAAGCCCGTTGGGCTGAAGAGCCTAAAGAGCCTAAAGAGCCTAAAGAGACTAAAGAGTCTAACCACGTCCAAAGAGATAAGTATCATGGCCACAGTCATGGTAAATGGAATGAACGTGGTAGAAGTGGAAATTATAATTTATATGATCAAGGAAACTATTCATATGGTTAAGGCCACCGACCCGACTTTGGTCATAATCGAGGTAGGCCACGGTATACCCAAACCACAACACTCAAATAAACTTGTTTGCCACTGATGAGGAATGGGGAAACCATTGGACTAAGACGTGCATGACACCTAAGCATCTCGTTGATCTCTATCAAGAGAGTTTGAAAAGAATCTAGAAGCTCATTTAGTTCATCACGATGGTGAAGAAGATTTCGACCATGAGATAGATGACTATGAGAATTCAATAAACGAAATATCTAAAGACATGGTTCATTAGCCAAATTGCGGGTATAGCTAAATTTAGTGAAGGCTAAGGGCAGGCCCATGGCAGGCCCATGGCAGGCCCATGGCAGGCCCATATTCCCAAGGGCACGCATCCTCAGATGCTTCATATTCACCCAGCCCAAAGGGGCTTGTTGAGTTTCAAAGAAATGTGTTTGAATGGTTTCCACATTGAAACTTAGGGTGAAGGGAACAAAGGATTCCCATATATTACTAAGAGCACCCAAGACCATGAGAAGGTCTTAGAGACTATACCCGCGTCATAGACCTTTACTATGCCAAGGTCAATATGATAAAGGCTAATACAGTAAACAAAAGGGTTTACTAAGAGATTCACTAATGGCATGACCGGCTTGGTCAACCTCCTAACATGATTCGTAAAGCTGATATTAAAATCAAAAGGGCACACCCCTTAAGGACCTCACGTGTATAGCATGTACTCAAGGGAAACTCATACTAAGGCCATCACCAGTCAAAGCAACTAGAAACTTGGTGTTTGCTAGATTGCTGGCCCAGACCATAAGTCTGTGAGCCCACATACTTAAGACTATATGTTTAGATAATGCTGGTAAATTATGTCCCAAGCGTTTTATGGCTACAGTATGTCCATGAGGGGGAGAGTAGTATACCCCGTGGCACATGTCCATACTTGAACTCACAATAGTTGATTGGGGACACGCAATATTACATGCAACAAGAGCTTATACGCATCAGGCCATTCTAGTGAGCATAGATATTCCCCATCCCAATTGCTAACGGGTCATGAGCAGACGTTTCCCATCTTAAGACATTTGGGTGTTCAGTCTATGTACCCATTGCACCACCACAGAGAGCAGATAATAGGACCTCAAAAGGGGATGGGAATATACGTTAAAAATGATTCTCCCACCATCATTAAGTATCTCGAGCCAAAGGCCATATACAAGGATTGTCATCTCAATGAATCCGTTTTCCCAACACTGGGTGGAGAGACTAACAAGCTGGTCAAAGAACTTACATGGAATCAAACATCCTTCACATGGCAAGATCCTCGGACTCCATCAGAGATCCAAAAGACTATATATCTGCAAAAGCTAGCTAAAACAATTGCCAAGATTCCTATAATGACCCAAAGAGAGTAACAAAATCGTACATACCAGCTTCTAATGCACCAGTACGTATTGATGTTCACAAGGAACACAATCAAGTTGCTACAGAGGCTACAACACGTAAGAAACGTGGTAGACCCAAAAGGTTCCAAAGACAAGAACCCTCGGAAATCAAAGAAAGGTGCAAGGGAAACCGAGAAGGTTCAAGAAACCATAGACATGGCCGGCTAATAGACATAACCCTAAGGTACCAATCAATGAGGTTTGGGACGCCAAACCTCAAGGTCCTGAAGGTGTAAAGAGATCTCTATAAACTATATCATGTCTAGAATACAATGGAACCGAAAAGATGTCGACATCAATGATAAAATATTTGCGCACAAGGTAGCAACTGAAATGAATGAGGATCAGGAGCCCACGTCTATACTAGAGTGCACTCAAAGACATGATTGATTAAAATGGTACAAGACCATAAAACGTGGAGCTAAGAATCATTAAGAAGAAGAATGTGTTTGGTCCAATACAAAGGACACCATTCAATGTAAAGCCAGTGGGACAAATGAGTCTTTGTGATAGTGTGAAATAAACATAGTGAAAGCGTAATATATCAGACACGGCTTGTCGCACAAGGATTCACACAAAGACCAGAAATAGAGGAGATATACTCCCCTGTGGTGGATGCTAAGACATTTAAATCTTTGCTAAGTCTGGCTATATAAAAGAGAAAGATTTGCGGCTAATGGATGTAATGCCTGCATATTTATATAAGTCCACTGGATAATATATGAGATTACCAGAGGGTATTGAGCTCAAAGATAAGAAAGATTCTCGAGAACAGCACTGCATAAGGCTGGACAAATCCTTATATGGACTGAAACAAAGCGGACGTATGTGGTATAACCGGTTAAGCGAATATCTCATCAGAGAAGGCTATAAAAACGATCCGATCAGTCTATGTATTTTTATCAAGAAGTTTGCAAACAAAGGATTTGTAATCATAGCAGTGTATATGAATGATTTAAACCTCTGGGTAATCGACCAAACAGTTGAAAGACCTAGGCAATAATTAAGTTCTTTTTGGGATTACAACCTGAGTACGTGAATAATGGAATCCTTGTGCATCAAATGGCATACACTGAAAGAGTACTCAAGGAGATTTAATAAGGACCAGGCCCGCCCATTGACCAGGCCCAATGGTGGTGAGAAGCCTCAGATTGGATAGTGATCCATTCAGTCCGGAAATGCCATACCTCAGTGCCATAGGAGTTCTAATGAATTTGGCTAGACACACTAGACCAAACATTTGTTTTGCCGTGAGTCTCCTGTCTAAATTTAGTTCATGATCAACCCAAAGGCACTGGAAAGGTTTAAAGGAAGGTTTGATTAAGTTTTAAAGTCTATTATTCCTGCGTTGTTTACTTGGTTTATTCTATACTGATCTAACCAAAGAAGGTCCAGTTTGCTTTGGTTTAGTTTGATTTACTAATGCAGGATATTCATAAGATCAGATTATGGTATGGTCAATGAATAGGAACTACGTGTGGCTTGATCCCTTCCAAGGGTACGTAGGCAGCCTTTATTTAAGGCGCAACTGCTACTACATCAAAGACCATCATATTTGAAGACAACGCAGCCTGTATTGATCAACTAAAGGATGGCTATATCAAAGGGGATCGAACGAAGCATATTCTGCCTAAGTTCATCTTCACTCATGAATTACAGAAGGACGGTCAGGTCAAAGTTCAACAGATCCGGTCAAGTGAGAATTCAGCCGACCTATTCACCAAATCATTGCCGACTTCAACGTTCCGGAAGCTCATTCATCAGATCGGGATGCGCGGACTTAAGGATCTACAGTGATGCTCAAATCAGGGAGAGTAATGCGTGTTGTACTCTTTTTCCTTCACCATGGTTTTGTCCCACTGGGTTTTCCTGGTAAGGTTTTAATGAGGCAACATTCCCCAGCGCATTATAGAGATCCCGGTTTAGTATCGGACACGGTTATGTCTTCCAAGGGGGAGTGTTATAAACCATATGGATGGACTCCATAACCGGCCCATGGCCCATTAGGGTTTTACCTTATTCTCTGTATCATGCTATTATCTTTGTATATATATCCCTTATTCTATTAATGAAAAACACAGTTCACAACAGACACTATTATTTCTATGCTATAACTGATTTATGAATTGAATCATATAAACACTCAAATTCAAAGATTTAAACATTCTTCTTTGAAGATCATATACAAAAAAGATTCCTTACTCCATGTACGAAATCTAGATATCATCATTATATAAAATGAATAGAAATGATAAATTCATTAAAAAATTTAATAAGTTACTTCTTGTCGAAAATAAAATATAACTTGGGAGGGATGTTTGGTGTCCACAGACCAAATATCTGAAATTATTGGCCTACCAATAAAGACCTGACGAATAATAATTGAATCTTTAATCATCATATCATATAAAATTAAGCATTACAAGTAAATACGTAGGCATGAATTAAATAATCAATACACCATATGATTGCGTGTGTATTTAAACCGAGTGGCATGGTAACACACAATTCCCCTCTCCAAGCAACAATCTAAATTATATAGAGAAAAATAAAAAAGTTTTTCTTTCTTTTTTTTTAGAAACGATAATATGTTGATAGGGAGTCGACCACGGCCTCAAATGCAGAGAACAGCAAGCATAACGAGGATCACCATCGAGGTTGATGATGATCAAACCGCCGGCCAAGACTCTGACGTTGCTATGACGGTGGTTGACGGCGGAGATAATTACGACCAGCGGTTCTTGGGGATGTTGTCGCCGGTAAATCACCGGAGGAACGAGAGAAAAGATGGTGGGCGATCATCACCGTCGTCGTTGTCGTCTTTTCTTGGAAACTGTGGATTTTGCAAACGCCGTTTAGCTCCGGGTCGTGATATTTACATGTACAAGTATGTTTACATACTAACTACTCTTTTTCTTAATTATTTTTCATTTTTAAGATATCAATTTTATTTTAACACCGTCTTTCCAATAGTAATTAAGGATTCAATTATTTATTCGTCTTTTTCTAATGCATCAAAAAGTAATATTGATATATTTGTCTGTAATATAAATAAATTGTAGAGGGGACGCAGCGTTTTGTAGCATAGAATGTAGAGAACAGCAAATGGAGCACGACGAAGACAAAACAAGAAACCGCGTCGTACTATCACCATCAAATTAAACATATGCATGGCTCAAATTTGCTATTACCCTATAATAAGTTTGTGTGTGTTTTAACTTGAGATTGTTGTTTTTAATTATTAATTAGTATCATCATGTAAAATTAATCCGATCCGCAGAAAAAAATTGAAATGAAACTATCTTTCATGTCCTGCATATTATTTTAGTTTCACACTTGTCTCTTTTATAAATATGGGTTTATTTAGTTTGAGGATATGTTTTTTATTACCAATTTTCGAATATTAATTAATTTAGCTAAAAGAACGAGTAATTTATACTAAATCAGCACACCTTACTTTAAGAGCTAGTGAAGGTTGAAGTAAGCGCACCATGAATCTCGTTTTATTAATAATATTACTTTGTAAGCAAATAAATCCCAACACCAAAAAAAAAAAAAAAAAAAAAAAACCCCAACACCATATGCAACTCACGGTAATTAAGATAATAATTAACAAAAGTGTATATTCTGATTTAAAAGTCACATGAATAGTAACAGTGTGAATAATTCCTATATATGGGACATTAGTTATGAACTTTCATGTGATATAATATTTTTTCAAGAAATCATTGGTGGAAATTTAGAAAAAAAAGGTTTAAATAAAAGGATATAAAAATGGAGGCCTGTCTCGTGACGACGAAAGCGTCTGATGATTAGTAATGGGATGAGGAGGTGTAGAGTAACTTAATGCGAACACACGTCACACGGATCAAAGCTTAGAGATGACCTAATTACCATTTGTTATTTTACTACTTCATAACAAAAGAAATCAAAAGATGTAATAAGAAAGTTTATAAACAAAACGAAAATGAAAGACTTATTCGTGTTATAGAATGGTTTATAGTTTATACACATCGTAGAAAAAGCAGAAAAGTTGATACTTATTGCGAAATATTTTATTTATACATATATCAAAAAGATTTATACATGTTGTAGAGACTTATATATACATGCATGCGGTAAAATAGTTTTATACATGCTGTGAAAAGGTTACAAGTAAGTTTGTAGATGTTAAATCTCTTTGCTTGTTTGGATTAAATATGTTTTATCCATCTTTGTCCTTCATAATTTTGTTTTAGTGTATAAGAATTTGTCCATAGTAACTCTCATCAGAACTAACAATTTATAAAAGTTATATGGAAAACAGTGATTAGTATTTGGAAAGTATCAGCTCTTTTTTTATATATCATTTGAAATCACATAATTTTTTTGCTTTAATATAAATGTCGTTTTGATATTGTTTTGGCAAAAGTAATCGATTCGTTAGAGTCTACGGAAAACAAGAAAAATAGTCGAATATAATTACTTTATTGATCAAAGTATCGATTGCAAAGTACAAGAATCAAGGCACAACGAATCAATCTATAAACCCAAGTCGTGTTTTAGTTGAGTCGTGTGTCTCGCCTTTTTTTGCAGTCTCTTGTGTTTGCTTTCGATTTCGTGTCGTCTTTCGTCGAATGAGACTCTCCTTTTATAGAGAAGTCTTCACGATCCTAATCCTCTTGGGATTTGGATTTGAGCAACCGCCTCTTTACGTGATAAAGTCGAATCCGATATTCTTTCATTAAGATCACATCAAATATTCTCTTGATAGGATCCGTGATTCTTGAGAGGATAACGTTATTCACAGGATTCGGTTATGGCCCGTATTCTCCCGATTTCTGTGGACTACGGCCCATATTGTCATGATTCTCACCGATCGCGGCACATGTCGATATATCCTAGAATCTTCTAGAATATTTTTTTTTTTTGGTGAAGGAATCTTCTAGAATATTAACAATTATTTTATCTATTTACATAATTCTAACATATTTTTTTTTTGACGTCTAGATTTATTATTTATTGCAAATTATGAGAACTGTTACATAGACGATTCTACAACGGACAATTCCTTCCGACCCTTATTAGATCCACGACAGACGACACTTCCTTCTCCATGCTCTTGACGGACACCTTCAATGATCCACGACCAACGACACTTCTCTCTCTGCGTAGAATCCTGGCGAACGGCTATAATTGTACTTCGCTGGAGATCTCATGCACACTTGCCTCATTTAATCTGCAAATTTATTAATAAATCGCAATATCTGGGATTCGAACCCCAGACCTCTTGGTGTAGAAGCATTAATTAACTTTTGGTCAATCAATGGGATAAGGAGGCTTTCACAATTCTAACATATTTATGATATAGTTTATATAATATAATTTTGATGGTTAAAATTACACCCAACAGATATTTTTACACGAAGTAAATAACAAAGCTATATTATGTCTCGTTGCTCAATAATTGGAGATTTTGTATATCAATGGTTTATGGAAATGGATAGTTATCAGTAGCTTATAGATAGGATTAGGTTTATAATTAGTCTATCGATTATTTAATAATTTTGTTTTTTCTTCACTCGTCTTTTGAACTCCAAACTTCGAGGCTTAGTTGTTGGAGTTTCCGGAGTCATCGTATTTTGTCTTCACTACTAATTGTATTGATTACTTAATTATCAATAATAATTCAAGGGAAACAAGCAGATTCATTTGGTATCAGGGCATCTTTAATTAAATTAGTCCTCCCACATATATAATTAATTTGAATTATTTTGGGCCATCAATCTCTTAGTTTTATTAATAAAAACTCATTTGAGGTCATTGATGATGCCATGGTAATATTTAAACTTCTTTTCAATCGTTTTTGAATCAAGAATCGGTCCATACATTTTATTTATTCCTCCAAATTATACTATATTTAAAATAGAATTGTTATGAAAACGACCATTACGTTTTAAAAAATTTGCTTGCCATCTTCTACTAAACTAGATTGAATTTTCTCAACTACGATGAAATAATAATTGTGGTATGAGCAAAATTTGTGACAAAAAGTTGTCCATACACTCGTAGATCAATACTGGACCAAAACCATGATTATATATCTCAAAATAGAAGTTGTTTACACACATATGAAACCAAATCATAAGAGATATTGGAATTATGGTCCAACCTAGAAACACTTTCAAAATATACCAACCCATCCGGATTACTACAAATACAAGTTACTTCACACCCTACAGAGACCGAACTAAAAGCTCTTTGATCTCTTAGAAACACAAGCTTTCATAATTTAAAACATAAAATAAAAAACAAACAACGACACAAATTAAAGACTCTTTAAATTATGAGCAAATTAAAGGTCTTAGATGCTTCTTCCTGTTCACTTGAATTCCATGATCATGTTGTTCTCCGGAGCCAGCCCAACGCACGCCCTCAGAATGTTCTCCAGCATAGCCCGCTGTTTCGACAGCGCGTTAACCACCGGGGTTCCCGGCGGCACAAGCGGTGCCTTGGTGAGGTAGCTGAGTATGGTGGCCACAGGATGGAAAGAATGAAACTTTCCCTGCCAAAAAAATAAGATTCAAAACATCAAAGCCGCGATTCAATGAAAACAGAAAACCCAAAATAACCAGTACTATGAACTGGCGAACCTCTCCCTCAGATTTGAACTGGATCCTGGTGCTGAGCTCTGCGAGGAGAACAAGATCCAAGATGATTGGAGCAGCTAAGAGAGAGTCCTCGCAGGTATTGTGCATCACAATTGTGTTCTTCCCTCCCATGAAGATCTCTGATGTGTACTCGTCCATCGCTCGCTTACTATCCGCAACATAGGGTACATACTGCAAAACAAACAAACAATTTGGATCAATGGGTATTAAAATCTGCCAACGAAAAAAGGTCTTGAGTGTCTGTCTGGTTCTCTCTTTACCTTGATGACAACAACATGGTCCGGGTGTTCCCCAGGCTCAAAGAGGATACCGTTGCTAGCAACCATATCGTCCACAACATTGCTTTTCGAGATCTCCTTAGATCTGAATGTCTGGGGAGCTGAGAGGTTCATCCCATCGTTGTTCCCCAAGTGATTGTAGCTCACAATTGAAGTAGGCTGCAAACAAAAACAAACAGTCAATGAAACAAAAGTCTTTTGACAAATATCTTCACAAACAAGAAAGAGTTACTTGTTACACAAGTTAAACAAACCTTGATTCCTGCACCAACAAGGAAATCAACCAAGACAGATTTCATCTTGGTTTGACCACTCTTGAAATCATCTCCACCGATCAAAACATTGTTCCTGATCGCCATATCAATTAGACCTAAAACAAATCCCCACAAAATTCAGTCACAACAATCTTGATTCCCAATTTCGATTGATCGACGAATAAACTTTCAACTATACGAAACCTGGAACAAAGGTGTTCTGAGGGCTTCCATTGATGAACGGGATCCCCTCAAGAACACAAGCAATCGCATAAAGCGTTGAAGGAGAGATCTCAGCCTCATCCCTATCCACAGACTCCATGAGATTCTCCATTGTATCGTTCATCCCAACGACCACATTGCTATAACGCTCAGTGTTAGCCGTCCAGAGAACCACAACCTTATCCACCTGATTCTTCTCCTTAAACTCCCTAAGATTCAACATCACACACATACATAACATCAATAAACAGAGGAGATTCGATTCAACAAACAAGAATAACTCTGTTTTAGTCACTATTATGATTACCTCATGTCCTTGATGATGTGGTCGACTTGTTCCTTCTTGGTACCTTTGATCACGTGGTTAGCACGTGACCCTTGATTAGCAGCGATAAAATCAGGATCATAGATCCCAGGGAGTGGCACAATGTTCTCCATGTAAGGCCTGAGCTGTTTCTGCAAGTCGATATCGAGAACCCTGGCTCTAGCCATGGCATCTGCTAAGTTCATGTCACTTATATCCCACCCTCCAAACACAACATCATCCGGATTCACCTGTTTTTTTTTTCCAACAACAATCCCAAAAATTAAAACACACTATAAAGAAAAAACAACTGACTTTAGATTTGTTTTCGAAAACGAACCATTGGAAGGAGACTCTTGAAAGGAGCATAGATCTCTTCACCGTTAAAGGATCCGACACGAATCGATGATGCTTGAGTTAGTGAACCGAAGTAATTCGCTTGTTGCACTTTGTCCTTCGTAGCCCACGAGATTCCTCTGTTTTTAAAAAAATTCAATTTTCCCGATTAAAAAGACTTCAAATTTAATTTCACGGATTTGATCAAAAAGACTCACTCTTTGTTCGCAATGACACCAGCAGTGAGAGTTGATCCATTGTTTCCTCCCCAACCCACAAGCATAACCCTTTCAAAACAGAACAAATCAAAATCAAAACGACGGAGAAATCGAGGAATTATGTTAAAGATCAAAACTTTGTAAAGAGTGGTTTCACCCTAATTTGGGGACACGAATATCGGTTTTGAAATCGTATTTGACAGTCTTTGGCTTCACAATCCATTGGTAACTGCCATTGATGGTCTTCTCATGAACAACCTCCGTCGTCTCGTAATCGTAAACAGAGTGAATCTCATTCTCTGTGTACTTCACGTTCCGGCTCTCAACTTTGAAGCTCTCAATGAACATTTTTCCCGAGAAAATTAGCAGAGGAAAAGAAAAAACTGTTATATTTCTCGGAATTTGGATCGATTTTGGGTGAGTTTTGTGCTTCTAATCAGCGGAGAAGTGGAAGTTTATATAGACGAGACAGTAAGGGAGATAGAGACACGTGGCGTCACTTCAGTGGTTAGTGGTCCCTATTTGCCCAATGCATGTGAGCTAGTGATGCTTCTGGTTCATAGTGAGCCACACGTGTGGGTCTCACACGTGAGGGGTGCCGAAGATAAAAAAATAATTGACACGTCAGATATCTGGTCCATACACGTGGCGTCGTTTTGCTATGATGATTGCAAAGTCTTGTTTGGTTTTTTTTTTCCATGGGTCCACATTTTTGTTGAATATACTCGAAGAACGTTAGTTAGTTCCGTTAATTTGGTGAAAAACGACAGTGTTTCGTCAAATGTGGGACCGTTTGTTCCGTTACAGTTACTAAAAATATAGTGTTTCATCAATTACGGAGGCAAGCGAGTGAACATCACGAAACACATTTAGCTGTTATTTGGTCGAGGTAAGAATCACGTGTAGTGATGGCGCGTGAGATAGTTAATATCGACGTTGACGGTCGACGTTGACGGTCGTTTGGAACAAAAGAACGACCGTTTAAAGACTTTTTTGTCGCCGTTTATAAGTGGGTCCTATGGAATCTTGTTGACTGGGGTTTGACACGTGAATTATTCTTTTATAATTACCATTTTTGATGTTCTTAATTGATACTTGCATAATTTAATGGGGAAATTGGATATAAAGGATATCTACTATAATTTTTGTCCATATATACCTTATTTTAGTAGATTGGTCATATAGGTTTTTCAAAAATTTAAAACCCAAATTTACCCTCATTTTCTTTCAAATTTAATTTTAAAAAATAAAACTTCCTAATTTATTTACAAAATTAAAATAGAAATCTAAAACCACTAAACCTCTACCTCAAAAAGAGTCTTATGAGACCTAATAAAAAACTTAAAAACGTGTTTTTTTCCTCCGTGAAACTTTAAATAATATACCAATTAGTTGGAAAAGTTAGAGATTATTTATGAATGAAAAACAGTGAATAAAATGGATAACTAGCACATGGTGTATTTGAACTTTTCTATGATACAAGGTGGGACGATAAGTATATACTGATCTCGTAAGGTATTGGTAACGAGATCTATACATCTCTTTGACTTTATTTATTTTAAGAATATGATATTATATAAAGTTAAATAAAATATTTATAAACATTAGTATTACTGATAAATCCAATTCTAATACAAATCGTGGAAGAAAAAGAAAAAAAACTGGTAAAATAAGATACAAATATGTGGAAGATGAATGCAAACTCGTGGATTAGGGAAGAAGAAGAAAAACCGAGTAGCATAAAATACAAATCGATGGGAGCTTAGGGTTTAGACGATTTAGTTTCAAAATTTTCTAAAATATTAGACAATAATTTCTAAATTCAGTTTTTTTTTTTTTTTCTAAATTAGGCTTTAGAAACGTTTTTGGTTTTAATTTTTTCTAATAAACGTAGAAAACAATTTCTAAATTATGTAGATCGTAATCTAAACAATTAATATCTATTTAAAACGTAATCTACGATAAATATCTAGTTTCCTTTTCTGAAGATTTACTTTCTGTATTTAAAAAATTTCTAAAAATTTCAGAAAACCAAATCTACAGTATCGTAGAATTTACATTCTAAAAGAAGATTACAAAATCTAACGATGGCAGAAGATGTAGTAATTAGTAGAATGGATATTCAAAAAAATTTAGAACATAGAGCAAAGCGTAGAATGCATGTTCTAAATATTTTAGATATATGATTTTCGGATTTCTAAAATTTTTAGAACAGAAATCTAGTCTAAAATATGTAGAACATATACAAAAATGCAGAATACACACTCTGAGTTTCGCAGAACTCTAGAAAACGTATTCTAATAAAATTAGATGAAACTTTATCTATCAAAAAATCAACTTTTTTAAAACCAAATCTAAATTTTTTTAGATCAAATCACCTCTACTCTTGTATATCTACATGTTTTTATGATTATTTTTTAAAAAATATATTTAAAATAGGGTGTAAGGGTAATTTCGTCCAAACTGACAATCTCACCAAAAAAGTATATATGGACAAAAAGTTTAGTAGATATCTCTTATTTCTAATTTTCCCTAATTTAATTAGTCAAAGTGCCGATGATTTCAAGGTACCTATTTTTGTTAATTTGAGTTATTGATTTATCTTTGTACAATGTACACAATAAAAACAAATATTCTCTTCCTTTTTATAAAGATTTATGTTTTAATTGTTTTTTACACATATCTAAGAAAATTTTAAAATACCTTAAATATATTAGTATATTGAGTAATGTATCATAACCGTACCAGACATTGGAAACACCTTCACACTTTTTCTACTGCTTTGGGTTCACATGTCTTTCATGTCTTAGATAGACGTTACTCTGAATACATTATTTATTTAATTGTGATTGGGCAATCTATCATAAGGAAAATATCAGTTATATCTACTTTCAAATTTTAAAGTAATAAACAATTAATCTATATGAAATCAAATTTTAGTTTAAAACATTGATTATATCAAATCACCTTCACATTTTTTCTACTTGTTTGGTTCACGTGTCTTTCATGCCTTACCACATCACTTCTTTTAATTGTTCACTTAAAAACTGATATCTAAATAAAATATTACACATTAAATATCTGATTTATAACCCATTGTTTAATTTCTGTATCAATAAACTAAATTAATTTTATTTTTCGTATTTTAAATATTACAGTAAAAATCACAACAATGTGTAGGTGTTATTGTTTTGAATTATAGTTTCCTTTCAAAAAGAGTTACCAGTTTGAACATTTTAACACAAATTGAAAAGATAGAAACATTTAAGAAATTTGTAAATTATTGTTCTATCTATTCCAAGTAACACTAGTTTATAAGATGCCTAAAATATGTAATTTGATTTGCTTTTGCAACCCGGATTCTTTCATTTCTATTTCAATAATGATTAGTCATTTGAAAGCTTTAGATGAAAAGCAAATCCAACTTTTGCACATGCCTTGAAAATTATTCTAGACATCGGTCTTCCGATGAATCATTTAACTAGTAGACCAATATGTAATACAATATCTTTTGAAAATGTTGCATTATATTCAGTAATTCAGATTTGGGTGTGGCATGTTAAAAAGATCTCTGATTATCTGATGAATTTATATACCGTTATTTATATCCTTCTCTTTTTATCTAATTGTGTGGTTAATTATGATGATTTATAAGCTTAGGTTAAACGTGTGATTTTGGCTCTCGTATCACATATATATTTCAGCAATGCTAGTTTTTGAAAAACTACATAAAGATACAGTGCTCTAGTCGACATAATAAGTTTCAAAAATAGAATCCAAATATTCAATTAATAGAGAATGGAAAAAAAATATACAAAAAGGCTTTTGGAATGGCTTTGAAAAAGTTTGATAGGCATGGTTGTGGCCATACGTACGTTTGTAGATTGTTAATTTGTTTCCCTTTGTAAACTCTTTGTCTATGTTCCTCCACGCCACATACTCCTCTATATTTCACTTTCATGTGTAGGAAGTTTCCCGTACGATTAATTATGTCCAACTATTTCATTCTGAATTATTGAATTTTAAGTAAATGAAAAGAATTTTATCCAAAATTAAATCACAATCAAATAATAATAATTGTTTTCAAAAACCATAAACAATACGACAAAAGACAAATACATCTAGCAGTTAATATAATTTTCTTTTTATTTTTTGTTCGTCTGCTATTTGAATAGATGTTTATTATACTTAGTTATAACAGTTTTATCAGAATATATAATTCAAATGCAACCATGTAAATTCTTTTTCTTCCTAATAACATAGACATATTTTATTTAGTTTCATTTCATTAATATAGAACAATAACGGATAGTTGGTTTCCAATTTAAACGGAGTAAAAAACAAAATTTTGATCAAAAGATTATCAAAAGGCAAACATATCTAGGCGTTATTGTAATTTTCTTTTACTTTTTTCCGTCTGCGATCTGATTTGATATTTATTGTAATTAGTTATAACATTTGTATCAGTATAAGACTATAAGTATACATCAACCATATTGATACCAGATAAAATATTTCCAGTTTAAACGGAATCAGTTGTAAAGTATGAGTTGTAAAGTAGTTTTAGTGTAAAATTTAAGATTATACTTTGGTATAACTACAAATTGAAAGACAATGTTTATCTAGCTTTTGTGTCCATCTAATACAATAAGTGTAATTTCTAGCCGATATCATAAATATTTAACAATTATTGAATACTTCTACAATTTTCCATAAATGTGGCGATTCAAGTTTACATAACGATACCAATGTATTCATAAAAGTTTGAGGTTAAAATTATATAAAAAAATTTAGTGATTACAAACAAAATATAAATAATTATCTATTGAATTATTTGGTAATATAGTCAATGAATGTATACACAAATGTGCAATATATACAATTAAATTCATTCTTTCAATAATCATCTAAGCAAAGAATGAGAATGATTGATCAAGTTTTGGAGAGTTTGATTGCCTTGAGCTTTGCTTAACAGATTCTTCACATTCTGTGTCATCTGTATTGATTCAAACAAGAACATTTAAAACTAAAATAAAATAAAACCGTAATTTAAATTTTATAATTTGAATAGGGAAAAAAAACACTATTACCTTCCCGAGACTACCCTTTGAGTAAGGCATTGCCCTTTGGGCTATTTGGTAATTACTTCGACTTCTTGTCATGATCTTTGAAGAACTTTGCCATTTTCCTTCCAATTGATTGGGAAGTGTAGATTCCTATATATTTATGGGGTATATTACACAAATGAGTTAATTTGTTTTATATTTTTAAAATAAAGAAATTGTTTTACGAGAATACGACATACCAAGAAAAGAACTGTTGCACAGTGCTTGAGGACCTCTAAATTCATTCGAACATCATCGAGACTCCTGCAATTATAGACATATGTGTGTTATTTTATCTTTTTGAAAGAACGTAACATTAATAAAAACACAAACACAAAAGTATGATTATGTACCTGTGCTTTTGCACTCCAAGACCAAAATAGGCTGCCAAACTTGCCATCTACAACAAAATATGAACTAAATAAGCTTGTTTGAAACACAAATTTACATTTGACAAAGATCTTCATTCTACGTTTCATATTTAAATTCCTTATATTCTTAGATAATGGTACCTTCATGTTACCAGCTCTTTTGCCAAACTTGTCACTTAATAACCCCAAAGAATCAATGATCCCCGAGGGTTCAGGGGCAGCTTTACCGATCTCAGCGAAAGCTTCTTTGATCCTAATGCAGTCGAATCTTCTAATGTTATGACCTGCCCAAATCCGACCGTTCAACAAACCATAGATCTTCTCAGCCACATCTTCAAAACTTGGTGCGTTTGTAACCTTAGCCCTTGTGATCCCATCAGACCTAGACGACCTTATTGAGACCACTGACAAGTCTTTAGGTTGTATAAGCGTTGTGAAGCTCTCTAGCTCCTCGAGTTTTCTTGGACATACGATGATCGCACCAAACTCTAAAATGTGAAAATATTGCCCCACTTTGTTCGGTACGGTTGTTTCTAGATCGAAAAAGACGATTTCGGTGGGAAATGTTTGGACCTCCATATCAGAATTTGGTTAGTGTCGATTTGTTAATCCTATGAGTTGGTATGTGTATATATTGTGGATCTGGGGTATGGGTTTACTTGTGATCTAAGTTAAGCGTAGGTTTGTGTTGGAGGGTTACTGTGGGGATTATTTAGCTTCGTGGAGAAAATTTTGCTCTGTAGGGTAAAGTAAGAATCTTTACTTTTCCTTAATCAAAAACCAATTAAAAAAGGGTTGTTATATGAAAGAGTTCGTTGGTAGATTCATGTTGTACGAGAATTGATTCCTTTGATATTGTTAAGAAGATATACAAAGAATCTGAAAGCTGAAAAGGAAAATTTCTCTAAAAAACTGGAAATATTCAAATTATTGATCCAGTCCTTATAATGATCTCTGAACGGGAATATTCAACTCGAAATATTCAATATACATGGCTTTAAATACTTGATTACTCAAAATCTCTGTGCATAGGAAGAGTTGAAAGAACACACATTCGTCATTAGTGGTTAACAGCAAGTGTAACAAAAAACGTTATAAGAAGATGAATATGACGAAAACGAATGCAAGAAAGTTACCAAGTGTTTGGTGGTAACAAACCATTTGCTAGCTTACAATAGAAAACTACAACAAACTTGTAGCCGGTAATCACATCAACAGAGACTCCAGCTGATGCCAAACCCAGCAAGATCAAGATCTTTGATTTGTTTCATTATAGATGACGGAAACTCTTTCGCTCATTACCTTAGCTTAGCTCAAAACCTGCAATTTTGAATGCCAGATGATCAATTTGGATACCTCGATATATTGTTTCACGGACTAAGAAGAATACGGTAAGCAATATTAGTTTTTCCAATGGACATATATGAAACCAATACATAGAACATACTTCTCATTTTAGGTGATTCACATGAATTATGAATAAAGCTAGAGACCATCATCTTTATTATCTACCTAAACAGATTGCTTCACGATTCTTACAACTTTGCAATTTATCGAAGTCATCATAGCATTACCAATCAGTTCTTAGACATGCCAAAGCCTAGAAAAGGGAAAATTCAAGAATGGAAGAAGAACAGATACAATACCTCAAACTCTGGTACAAGATGAATCAAAGTCATCGGGAGCAACACGCGCAATCCAATTATTCAACGTCCGCTTGACATCGGTGTGATTAACATAAGCCAACTCATACATACTACACAAGTTCACCACCAAGCTCTCGTTCAAAGCCGCGGTTGGCACTCTCTCCAATGCACTTTCCATCACCTTAATCGCATCCGATAGATCTCTCAAGTACATCAAACAAAGAGCCTTATTGTTGACAGCAATAATATCCGAGTTATCCCTTTCAATGCATTTGTCATACTCTCTCACAGCAGAAACATAGTCCTTTGCCACAACATGAACCAAAGCCTTATTCCTCCCCACAAGATTCTTGAACTGTATCTCATTCAATAACCCATTGCTCTTTCCTTCATTCAACATCTTCTCAACTCGATCAAACGTAGTTTTAGCTCCTTCTATATCACCAAACTGCATTTGAACAGAACCTAGTTTCGAAATCAAAACCGGGTCTAACGGATCACGAGTTATCAATTCCTTCATCAAATCCAAAGATACCCCAAATTCCTTGTGACCTAAATGAAACCCTAGCAAGCAATTCATCACAAAGGTCTCTCTTTTCTTCCACAATTCCACAGAACCATCTAAACTCTGAGATTCTTTCTCTCTAATTCGATCTCGAACAAAGTCAAGTAAAACGTATAACCGATCTAACCCTTCCTGACGATTACCAAGCTTAGTCGGGATCAAAGCGTAGAGCCATCGTAAAGAGAAAGGAACCATCGATCCTCTCCGATTAGGGTAGATCTCAGGGAACGATTCGTACCTGTAATGCGTCCCGTCGAAATCGTGCAAAGAATTAAGCTCATGAGCAGCTTCATCGGAGCGACGAAGCTTCGCGAGAGCCATAACTTGGTAAGTGAGATAAGTGAGATGCTCGTGAGGCTTTGTGAGGAGAAAGAGAGCTCTGGCTTGAGATATCTTCTCGAGGATCGCTTGCCATGAGCCAAGGGTCGAAAGCTCGTGGAGCGAGCCGAGATCGTGGGTCAATTCGTCGAGCGAATTGAATCGTTCCGGTGGTAGATCGGCGACGGAGGTGGCTTGTGATGAGGCTAATTCGAATGTCGTCGCTTCAGGTCTAGCTTCGATGGAGTCTGAGTCCATGGCGGTTTGTACGGTGCCGGAATTGGTAGTGACGGGGGAATCAGTGGAAGCGGGATTGAATTCAGGTCGGGTTTCGGATTCGGGTAAATCCGGATCCATTGCTGGAGATGACTCCGTGAACATTGTCGAAGTAACCTGGTTTGGTCTTTGCGATTGGTCTTTCAATGTTCAATTGATAGATTAGTTAGATACCATTAAAGCAAGATTATTTCCAAAATTTTAGATTTTCTTATAAAAAACCATTTGATGTTAATTTTATAATAAGTTACATGATTTTGTGATAAAAGAGGTATGTTGTATACAAATGATTTAAAAATTAAGCTAATACATTTCCAAAGCTAACCATAAGTTTAATATTATTGTATCAATTATATTTTACTTTTGTATGTCAAACAAAATTTTCATTTCTGATCACATTTATTTTTCTCAAATCTAGAATTAAGCAACCTGGTTTGGTTTGATCTTTGCAATTTGATATTAATTTTATGGTAATATGTTGCATACATATGATATGATTATGTGCTAAAAGATATGTTGAATACAAATTATTTCAAATAAGATAAATACATTTCCAAATTTTTTATGGAAATTGTTTTAGTGTATAAAAATAAAATATGATTATTGGTCCACAAAAGAAATGTGATCAAATATTGTATAAATATTTTACTTTTATATATCAAATAAAGTTCTCATTTATGATCATATTAAAGTTCGTCAAATCTTGAACTGGAATTTCATTAGATTTTTTAAAAAAACTTTTTTTCATTTTAAATTTCAATTCATAATATATAATTATAGTTAAAATAATAATAATATCCAGCCGTCTCTCGTCTCAATCTTCGTCTCACTCTGCCGCTCTTCTCGCTTTTCCTCTCAAACTCACGATTTTGGCTCGACAAAAGCAAGGAGGAAGAACCCTAATTCGATTTAAACCCCCAAATTACAAAACGACGTCGTTTTATTTTATTCAAAACGACGTCGTTTTGTTTCTGTGTCTAATGAGAGTCCACGTATGTCAAAACGCAGTCGTTTTAAACGCTCACGTGTCGTCCTCGTCAGCATCCGTTAACGGAACAGTAACACCGTCTAGTAATTTGAGGGTTTTTACCGGATTTATAAAGTTTGTGCTGAAAATTCAAATTATTGTAAAGTATATGAGGATTTAAGCACATATGAAAATTTTGGGTATGGAAACGATAAAGCAACATAGTTAGGGGGGAATAGGCCGTTCTCCCCTCGAACATCTATAATCTTCTTTGTGCTCCCTTTTTCTTCCTCCTCCTCCCTCAACATTAGATAATGGCTAACGATAAGTCTTGTTGCATTAGGTTGAGGCTTGCCCTCAAAGAGCTTCCGCCCACGTGTGTTTTATTACTCATCGTCTTGTGTATTTGGGTTTGGGGTGCTTATGTTCATATCTTAGATGTGACTCGGCCAAAAGTTACAATAGCTTCTATGAATTTTACTATAACAGAGATTCCTACTAGTGCGAAGTGGGATTTACTTATCAGAACTCCCCAAAATCTTCCTAGTTACTACATCTGTCTCGAAGGAGACCTTCAAGCTTTTTTAATTTACAAACATGTAGAGAAAAATTTTAACCCTCCATTTAGCTTTTTATAGTATATTGTTACTTGTTAGAGAACACTATTATATTCTCTTTAAATCCTTGTATGTTTTTGAGGATGACGAAGATCCCACCGTTAAAGATGTACTTTAAATGATATTTTCAATATTAGAGAACTTGTAGAGAAAAATATGTATATAATAACATGTAAAGTGCCATTAATTATACCAATCTTGTTTTCTTACAATAGTATACCCTTGTAATAAAGGCGTTAATAGACGTATTAAGAACATACTCGCGATTATTTACTTATTATTCATAATCATAGACTTGTGATTAATGAAAACAATAGTAGATGAGGCATTTGCGTTTGCAGCCATTATTTGTCGGACAAGCAAGTAGATGAGGAAAAATGATCCGATCATTTATGTGGGTTTTATAGTGGAAAGCTGGTGAAGATGTATAGTTCTACCCTAAAGCCTAAACGTGTTTAAGTAGAGGGTAATTTTTAGGTATTTAATTTTCTTTCATATACTTTACAGATAAAATTAAAGCTCCCCAGTAATAGTTTGACACGTGAAAAGTTTATTTTTTAGGGTAATACTTAACTGGTTTGATTTTCTTACACAAGTTGCTAACAGAGGGAGCAATAACAATCCCAACACGCAATGTAAATACCAATGTAAATGTCATCCAGTAGAATAAACTTCCGAATACCAACGCGACACCAGAACGATCGATATAGTAGGCAGACGTTGGGTCAGTCCTAGCAAACAGTATATTCGAGAATCTTACTATGAGCTGAGCGCCTTGCAGTTTTGTTCGATCTCATACACAATAATGATGACTACGTCTAAGAATCCAACTTGAAAAGAAAAATGTTATGTGATGCAAATTCAAAATATTATTTAACTAATTCTTTTTCAAAATGACTAAAAAAATACTCATGTTAATTATCTATAGAGCTCGCTCTAAAAGAATACGAAATCAAATAAGTTGTAAATTAAATAGTAATTTGTTTTAGAGAAATTGTTGAGCAATTCTTGAGGAATTTCTGAGGAAAAAATAGTTGTCACATAATTACATCAATTGGATATTGAGGAATTTTTGATGATCAGTTTGAAGAGAACTTGGAAAGAAAAATATGTTATCTAATGCAAATTCAAAATATTATTTAATTAATGAAAAATATCCCACATGATGATTTTGTTATCAATGTTGAATTTTATATTTTAACGTGACTTTTCTTCGTGTAACGAAAAGGAGTATTTATTAAGTTGTTGACAATTGGTAATAAATACCATGTTACATGTTTTTTTTTACGTAGATTTTTAATACAATGACACAAAAATTAAGCTCTGACTTGGTCCAAGTTATTCTTACCATTGACCCTCATCGAAGACTTGACCAAATTAAAAGTCTATGTGAAAATGTGGAATGTACTGCAATAAGTAAGTCTTTTTAATTAAGTAAATAATTTCAGACCTAAACGCTAAATCCATATTTTTTTTTGGATATGAACATGTTAATTATTTTCTATTGTAGGTATTCAAATTCGAAATTTGTTTTTTTTTTTTTTATTAAATGACTGACTAACTAGCTAGTATAAACCGTAAAACCTATTATTCATTTAGTGATTTGATTACGTGTTTTTTTTTATATGAATAGTTTAGGCTTTAAGGTTCTTACGATCAATTAAATGTATATGTTAAGACATGAGAGAACAATTATAATGTGGTTTTATTACGGAAAAAGGAAAAGCAGTGTAGAAGCATCGAACATACTTGACTTTTATAATATAAAACACATTTTCTTTTTGTAGGAAATGATACAAAACACATGAGGTACATAGAATCATATATTATACAATTTTACAATTTGAAATTATCATTAATCGTAGAAAAGTAAAACGCGTTTTCTCTCCAGTCTTTCTCCAAAAGACAAATGATTTATCTGTAAACGCATGAGACATGACATGCAATGACCTATATAACTCTGTATCTATGCTATGTATATATGTGTACACATGAATTGATAATACCAAGAATCTCGATCTTCGTTACATCTTTTTAAAATCAATCAGTGTTTGTTAAAAAAAGTTCCACTCAAGAAACAATGATGAGACAAAAGAGATCATTAGACACAATTCATGTCTTCAATCTTATGGTCCTCTGTTTCATCGCTCTGTTTTCTTCTTCCGTCCTTGGCCAGGGAAAGATCCGGAGATTCAAATGGGAAGTGAAGTACGAGTTCAAGTCACCAGATTGTTTCGAGAAGCTAGTAATCACAGTCAATGGTAAGTTTCCAGGTCCCACCATTAAAGCTCAACAAGGTGACACCATTGTTGTTGAGCTCAAGAATAGCTTCATGACTGAAAACGTCGCTGTCCATTGGCATGGAATCCGACAGGTACGTAATAGTCGACCTCGTAAGATTTTAAATCAAAGCACTCGATGAATGACTGAAAAAGATTGATTTTATGTTTCAGATTGGGACTCCATGGTTCGATGGAGTAGAAGGTGTTACTCAATGTCCAATTCTTCCTGGAGAAGTCTTCACTTACCAATTCGTTGTTGATAGGGTAAAGAATTATAAAACTCACATTAAAGTTTTAATCTTTCTTCATGTATTTATGTTCTGGTTTTTAAATTTGTTTGTAGCCTGGTACATACATGTATCATTCACACTATGGGATGCAGAGAGAATCTGGATTAATCGGAATGATTCAAGTTTCTCCTCCGGTCACAGAGCCCGAACCGTTTACATACGATTATGACCGGAATGTTTTGTTAACTGATTGGTACCACAAAAGCATGTCAGAGAAAGCCACCGGTTTAGCATCAATACCCTTCAAGTGGGTCGGTGAGCCACAAGTGAGTTCTTTTTTTATATCTCAAACTCAGATTCTTGATTGATCGATCTTGAATTTATTTTAAAGGATGATTCTGGTTTTTGATATTATCAGTCGCTTTTGATACAAGGAAGAGGAAGATTCAACTGCTCAAACTACCAAACCACTCCTCCAAACTTAGTGTCTGGCGTCTGTAACGTCTCAAACGCTGATTGTTCGCGTTTAATTCTTACGGTGATTCCCGGAAAGACATACAGGCTTCGAATCGGTAGCTTGACGGCTCTCTCTGCTCTCAGTTTCCAAATCGAGGTACTTAGCTTGAGACTCAAGACAACCATTTTCATTGTCTTCTCTGTTTCATTCTTTTCGTACTCTAATGGAAGATGGGTTAAATTAAACAATAGGGACATAATTTGACGGTTGTTGAAGCAGACGGACACTACGTAGAACCATTCACGGTGAAGAATCTCTTTATATACTCTGGCGAAACTTATTCCGTACTTCTCAAGGCAGATCAAAACCCTAGACGAAACTATTGGATCACCACAAGCATCGTTAGCCGTCCGGCAACAACTCCACCGGTCGCCGTACTCAACTACTACCCGAATCACCCACGACGGCGTCCTCCCACGCCGGAATCCTCCAATCTCCTACCGGAATGGAATGACACGCGCTCCCGTCTCGCACAAAGCTTAGCAATCAAGGCGCGTCGAGGATTCATTCACGCGCCGCCGGAGAATTCTGACAAAGTC